AAAAAAAAAAAAAAAAAAAAAAGAAAAGAAAAAAATTAGAAACCTTAACATTGAATGTCTTAAGAGTATGGTTGCATAATCCAATGAAACTAATTTTTTGATTTAATCTTGAGATAGTGGTATCACTACCTAGGTAAAGCATAATCAAGCAGGAGGCTTGTTCATCCTTCTCAGAGGGCATGTCTTTCTGACTGCTTGGTTTGATGCATAATTCGAGCACCTAGAACAGCGCTTGATACTAACAATAACTCAATAAATATTTGCTCAGGAAATAAGTGAATGACTTGCTTCTTTGTACAGGAAGGCAACATACACATTTATATTGGCTACAAAAGGAATAAAGAGTTTAGCAGGTGAAAAGAAGAGTGTACTCAGAGGCCTGTACCAGAAGGTAATCAACAATGTGCCGCTGCTGTTAATGCTGAGGGCCTAGGACACACACAAGGAGGGAAACAGATCTGAGGCAGCCCTGAGGACACAAATGGGCAGTACTGTAAAAAGCATTGAAGGCTGTGTCTTTAAGGTGACATAATGGTGGTCTTTCTCACTAGAGAAATGAGAAAGAAGTACTATACGATTTTAGGCAGGGTCCCGTCAAGAGCTGACATACATCTTGGTAAAATTTCACATGTGCAGCTGAGAAAGTTTCAGAGCACAGCATGACAGGAAGCCAAGAGCCCATTGGGTGGGCTGGGGACTCTTGTGAAAAAATAGTGGGGGGGACTCAACAGCGAAGACAAAACCAGAAAACGTTCACCACCTGGATGAACCCATACCACTTGCTAGAGTTTGCAAATGTGTGTTTGGGTGATGCCCACCCTATTCACCACTCCCCTTCAGCAGCTGGCCCCACTCATGCCCCTTCAGGCTTTCACCTCTCCCCCATGCCTACTACTACATCTGGCACAGGTTAACTTCTCCACAAGTATTTGTTGACTGGACCCATGCAAGCACATTCAAAATTAAAATGGAATTATCAACATAAATGAAAGCAAAAAAGAAATTTTTCTAAATAATCTATAACCAAACATTGAATTTTAGAATTTTATAAGAAATGTAGGCATGCTACACGAAAATATTAAAATTACAGGACGCCTAGAGAATAATGTATTTTATGTTTCTAAAAGATAGTTGTCTTAAGTAGCTCCACTCTGAATAGCCTACTATCTTAAAATAAAATTATTCCACTGCCAAAAAACTGGGCTTTAAAAGTAATTCTTACAATAAAACAAAATCTACATTGTTTTCACTTCCACTAATCATTATGAATTCTGGAGCAAGGCAGGAAAAAAATCTAATGCCTTTATTATTTCAAAGTGTTTAAATATTTAAAGATGATTCTGCTGAATTTACTCCTTCAAAGCTAAATAATTTCACTGGTTTCTATGTGATATGCTTTCTAGAGTCCTTACAATCCTGACTGCTCTCTCTGGGATGCCATGCTAGGGGTATTTTCTGGCTTTCTATCGCTCCCAAAGTGTATACACGGATTTAGGAAGCCTCATCTTGTGTACGTGTGTGTTTGTACATTTTAAATATTTACAAATCAAATGTCGACGCTATGCTACAGTCATGATTTTTATCAGCCATACACATGAAATAGGTTTCACTGCATCTTATGACCCAAGCATCACCTTTAAACAATTTAAAACTAAAATAAAGGACAGGTGACATGCTTAAGTTGAGATATCCTTTTTCACCGTCCATGTTTCCTACTCGTGTGATTATGTGAACCTCAAGATTTTCCCAGAAGAAAAAAAAACATGAAGGTCCAAAGAAGAAATGACCCTCACCATGGCCAAGTGTCACTGCTGAGAGCTAATGATTGACAGTACATAGATACCTGATTTCCAGAGGAGATCTCAAAGCACTGAAGGGCATACTTTTTAATAATTTAGGCTGGTTTTCATGTAGAAGCATAGGTAATGTGGTCATTGTAACTTAAATTCTTTTTATATAAAATGTAACTAATATAAGGGATGCACATCTGTTTTCTGAAAAATAATTTCAAATTAAGAACCTTGTCAATTTTAATTAGGATAATAATACAAACCACACTGGTAGGGTTATTTTCTCTCATCTAATAAGCTCTCCAGTGAAGATCTAAAAATGTATTTAAAACACATAAAACAAGATCATATCCAATTATTAAGGGCAGCTGCCATATTTATCTACTTGCAATTTTCTGCTCAGATATAAACAATTTGTTTTAGTCATTATTTCAGATGTACAGTAGTCTAATTATTATAGGATAATTGAGTAGGTTGTTAATTGTAGAACCTAAGTGAATCAGAATTCATTATAAACTACAATATCTTTTGTTCAATGATAATCACTGCTATAAATATTGCCATCAGAAAAAATGGAGAAATATTAGAGTTTGAAATATTTTGTACTAAATATTGTGTTTTTATATCTTCTAACAGAGAGCAATACTTCCATGAACTTATATCAATAAATACAGAAAACTAGATCTGTATGGGAAAATACATTTTATAATATATCACAAAGTTAACATTTATTTTGCAATCAACACTTTTACCGAGTACTTTCTATGTGCAATATGAACCTATAAGCAAATTTAAATTAGAATCAATTCATTTTTATTATATCATTTTGTAATAATATGTAAAAATAGATATTCTAAAATAGTACTTAATAACATTATATATATATATATATATTCTATATGTGTATATATTTTTAACTGGAACACATTTCAATAATTGTTTTTATCTATTTTTCCATAGACTGAGCAGTTGTTAGCTTTTTAATAAATCAGCATTGAATATAATTAAGTTTAAACTTATGTTTGCAGCAAGTTCTTTTCACATAACTACTAAATGTGCTAGATAAACAACTATCAGTTTATATAATAAATAAGTCTCAGCTCACAAAACTCAAGAAAAACCCCTATCTGAGCAGTCACCTGTAAACTGGAACAGATGACCACTTAAGTTTTCATCTACTTGCGTTGATCTTAATCTCTAAGTTGTAACTTTTATTAGTTCAGTAACTTTTTCTTGTGTGCATAAAATTCTATTATGGTGCCAGAACTAGTCTGGTGCACTTCAAATTTTTTGCTTTATGCCCACTTAAATGAATTTGCAAAGCCTATACACCCTTTACAGACTTTTTAGCTGATGTTTATTTTTCCATAAAAACTCTGGTGGTTGAAAATTATATAATTTCTAACATATTGCAATTGTTGATATTTTATGATAAAAAATCTTATGTCACTTTAAAATGTAATCAGTGAGGGGCTGGGGAGACGGCTCAGTGAAATAAGCGCTTCCCTGGCAAGCGCAAGGGCCTGAGTTCAATCCCCGGTTCCACCAAAAAAAATAAAATAATGATAATAAAATAAAATGTAGCCAGTGGAATTTAGATACTGCAGCAATTTTATACTACTATTTTCCGTGTTTGGAGAAAACACAGGCAAATCTCTTCCACAGTTGGAGGTTTAATTCCATGACTTTTCTCCTTGAACTTACATGTCCATTCCACTTATGTAGACAATTATATACTTATATAATAAATTATTAGGTTTTCATCTTTTATTGATCCCCATACTATATTTTCTGAAATGTAATATGTATGTAGATTGAAATTTAATTTTGAAAAATGTTCCTCTTGTTACAAGGCTTTCAAGTGCTAAAAATTTCTTGATGGAGATGTAATTACAATGATTAGTTTTAAAAAGTTGAGTACAATAACATGAATATATTACATGTTTTGCAATAATTATTATACATAAAACCAAAATTTTATTAGAAATGCATCCTTTAATGAGATGCATACAGTTTTATCCCCTCAATTAATTTGTGTAGCTGGAGATGAATATTATTTATTGCCAGAATAAGATAGGGTTCACCCTCAGTTCTATACCACTTGATCTATCATCAGATAGCAAATCAATTAGATACTCCTTCAATTTCATTGAAAGCAAAGAATTAGAAACCATCTTACTTGCAAATGGATTTGATATTGTCACCAAGTTCACTTGCTTGTTCCATGCAGGCATCTACATTTGTAATTGCCATTTTTTTGTGGTGAACATATGGCCTCTATATCGAGACAATTCAGCCAACAATGCTTTCAACAGGACTGAAAAGAGGGGCTCTTTTATGTGTGAAGTAAGAGAAGAACAAGTATTAGACAGTAACTGAGACAAGGAGCCAGCTTTAATCACCCAGATAATTTTTCTTGAGCTGTTCAAAAGTTATTTTGGTTTTTCTTAACTTTTACAAGCGAGAACTCTAATGTAGACAAGTCTGCTAGCAAATAAACTGTCCTACAACAACTGTAAAAG